CCGACGTCCCCGCCGCCCTCTCTTATTCGCGACTGCGAGGTGCTACGTAAAATGTCTGCTGCCCAGCGGTCGGCCATGCCCGTCCATCGGACTCACAGCCTCGTTCACGCTTTTACAAAGGGTGGGGCACTTACTTTGAGCGTGTCTCGCCCTTGTAGCTCTTGGGGGTTGGTGACCACACTCCACCGCCGCGGCGAAGGAAACAGCGCGCGTGCGTGCCTCTTCGTGCGCCCGGTGGGGGGGTCCTTGTCCTTCGTCGGAGGGGCCGGCCGGCCGCGCGCGCGCTCCCTTCGCTTGCCGCCTCGCCGCTGCGCGTGAGGCGCGACCGCCAAAAGTTGCGTCTGGGGCATGGCAGCCATCCACCTCGCCGATCCTGGCCAGGCGCATCCTGGGCCAGGGTCGACCCGTGATCGGCACCGGCCAGGAGGTCGGTGAGGTGTACGGTCGACGCCCCCAGACCCCCGACGTCGTGCTTTTGCACGCACTGCGGACCCCTGGTGTTCTCGACCCGTGTTTCTGGATTGCTGGATTGCAGAGACCAATAATTGGGGCCTCTGCCAAATACCCTTCTCACGTTCTAGCCACAAGCGTCTATGGACTCATTGGGGGCCATGATGCTGATAGATGCATTCGGGGTAGATACGTCTATGGACAACGCGGCCTTTGCGTTCGGCGCAGGTCAGGGGGAGGGTAGATAGATCTGTCTACGGAATGTTCCTGTTTCAGAGGAGGTCCCGCATGTGTCTCCAACTCCGGGACCAGTTTTTCATCCTGAGTCGTGTTCGGATGGTCCCAGGCCCCAGCGAGGGCCCCTAGAGCCTAGACGCCGAACGTAGCGACAACAAACAATGTAATGTTATTGTTTTCGCAACGCGAGGGTGTTTGGGCCCCCCGATCTTTCCACATCTGCTCCCAAGGACAAGAACGCGCCCCCCGAGCAGCGGGAACTGCCAGAGTTCCGCGCCGAGGACTTCTTCTCCGCCGACCAGGAGGCGGCCCCCCCGCCTGCGTCGCTCTGCAGCCGCGCCCCGGGCGACTACTGCATCGTGCGCTGGGGGCAGAGGCTCTCGAGCGACGAACACACGCAAGCAGACGCCCAAACCCCCGACGTCATGATTTTTGAATTACGTCGACCCCCAAAAGGTCTGGACCCATTCCCAGGGACCGGCCTTTCATCCTGAGTCGTTCTTTGATGGTCCCGAGGCCCGGTAGGGGCCCCCAGACGCTGAAAATAGGGAAACACCTCCCATTTTGTGTTTTTTCCCAACCATCCTGTGGTGTTGGGTCCTCGTTTTGAAGAGACAGCGCCCCGCGTTCCTCCCCCTTCCTTCCTCCCCCTCCTCCACCTCCTCCCTCCTCCCTGAGTTTCACCCACCCAGTACAGCGTTTCGTAGCCATATAGGGAGCTCCACCGAAGGCCCCAGTGGCAGGGTTCGCATGCAGTTCCACCTCCATTTCGGCGCACCGCTCACACGTTTCGTGGCCCCATAGGGTGCTCCGCCGAAGGCCCCCGTGGCAGGGTCCGCATGCAGTTCCACCCCCATTTCGGGGTTCTCCTCACGCGTTTCGTGGCCCCATAGGGTGCTCCACCGAAGGCCCCAGTGGCATTGCCCGCATGCAGTTCCACCTCATTTTCGGCGCACCGCTCACACGTTTCGTAGCTCCATAGGGTGCTCCGCCGAAGGCCCCAGTGGCATTGCCCGCATGCAGTTCCACCCCAATTTCGGCGCACCCCTCGCACGTTTCGTGGACCCATACAGTGCTCCGCCGAAGGCCCCAGTGACAGGGTCCGCATGCAGTTCCACTTCAATTTCGGCGCATCCCTCGCACGTTTCGTGGCTCGGTGCTTCACCGAAGGCCCCCGTGACAGGGTCCGCATGCAGTTCCTCCGCCCCCCATTTCGGCGTAGCCCTCACACGTTTCGTGGCCCCATAGGGTGCTCCGCTGAAGGCCCCAATGGCAGGGCCCGCACGCAGTTCCACCCCCCCATTTCGGCGCATCCCTCACACGTTTCGCGGCCCCTTAGGGTGCTCCACCGACGGCTCCGGTGGCAGGGTCCGCATGGCGTACCCGTGTCAATTTTGGCACACCCGTCACACGCGTCGTGACCCCAGAGAGGTTCACCGAGGTCGATGCCCACAACTGCGTCACTCACAACTGCACGTGGTTGGGTCCCTCGCCAGGTTAATTTCATGATTCGAGGGGGTCCGGGATGGGCGCAGGCCGAATCTTCGGTCGATTTCAGGAAAGCTGGCCTGCCCCGGTCGGCATTCCGCGGGGGCGTGAGGATGTCGGCCAGCCTTGGGGCCTCGGAGGGCCCCCCAGCCCTCGCCGTCGCCGAGGATTGAGGCCCGCGCGCCCTCGCGGTCAGGACGCCGAGGTGCGATCGTGTAGATACGCGACCATGCAGTGGAGACCCATGCGTAGAAACACCCTGATGGCCTCCAGGGTGGCCCCGGGTTTCCTGGCCTTCGGGTTTCGATGGTTTTGCTATGGAGAGCGTGACGTTCCCACCACAAGAATCAGTGGACGTCCTGGGGTCTCAGGGTTGGGTTTCTTGTGGAAGGTTTCCTGTGGCGGAGCCCCTGCTGTATGGATATGCTTCGCGCAGGAGGCATCCGCGCGAAGCCGCCCCTGTATCCGTGGGATCGTGGCCGAGGAGTCCGGACCGCCAGCCCGCGGGGCAGTTGATCGTGGAACGTGCTTCCCGCCCCGCGCAGAGGCGCGCGGACGGGCGCGACGTGATCGTCGTGCGCTGCATGCACGCCCCGCTGGACTGCGTGAAGAGGGCCGCGGCCGATCTCTCCGCCGGCCAGCCGCACGGCAGGCGCTGCTGGGTGCTGACGCCCGGGGGCGTGCCCGCGGGGGCGCGCGCGGACTTGGCCCAGGTGCTCCGAAAGGAGGAGGAGCACAGACCACCGCCACCGAGCACCCACTGCTGAGGGACCTGCCCGTGGGCGGTGGCACGCCTGAGCGCCGTCCTGCATTGGGGTGGCGCTCGGGCGCTGGGGGGTTCGCCTGCCCCCCTCACTCCCTCCCCCGCCCCGCCCTGTCGCTCGTCGCTCGTCTGTCGCTCGTCTGTCTTGCCGCGCCGCCGGGCCCCGTCTGCGCTGGCAAGAAAGTGTCACCGCCCAGGGGTCCGCCCCCCACTGATGGGTTCTCGCTCGTGGTGGTGGTCCGCGCGTCTCATCTGAGGTGCGCGGCGGCTGAGGGCCCTCGGCGCAGCGGGCCAGCAGGCCGAGCCCACAGCGGGCCGCCACGGGCGGCGGGCCAAGCCGCGGCGGGCCGCAACGAGGCCAGAGGCCGAGCCGCTCCGGGCCCAGCCGCAGCCGGGCAGCGCACCGCGCGGGCCGCGGCGGGCCGCCTGCGGCACCTCGAGGCCCAGGGGTCTCGGCACCCGAGGCGGACGCCTCAGGCAGACCGGCCTGGCCGCAGCAGGTCAGGGCTGCGGCCCCGAGAGGTTCCCAGTGGAGCTCCCGAGGCGGTGTGCCCGCAGGCCGACGCGTTGCCCGACGCGGCCCAGGAGCCCCTGCCACGAGTGCGCCTCCTGGGCAGCGGGAGCTGCACGAGTTCTGGGTCAGGGATCTCTCCCCCAATGGCCAGGATGCGCTCCCTCCGCCAGCGTCGCTCGGCAGCTGGCAGCCGCGTCTTGCGCGTCCGTTGCATTGTGAGTTTGGTGCAGAGGCGTGCAGATGGGCGCGACGTCATCGTGGTGCGCTGCACGCACGCCCAACTGGACCACGTGGAGAGGCTTGCGACGTGGCCAAGCTGCTGGGCGACTGAGGGCGTTCGACGCCTCGGGCGGCCAGGCCGAGCCTGAGCTGGCCACCTTCGGGAAGCTTCGGCAGCTCGAGTGCTCGAGTCTCGGGGGCACGGGGGAACGGCGCGAGACGGCGCTCGACGCTACTGGCTGGCAGGCCGAGCCGCAGCAATCTTTCGAGCTGCGGTCCAAGATCTCGAAGGAGATTCCGAGTTCACCGCAGCAGCCTGCGTGCTGCCACCGGCTGCTTTGTGCGTGGCCCGAGTCGTTGGACCAGCTGCCCCCCGGTGGCGCTACGGGTGGGGGCGTCGCGCAACCGATCCATCCTGTCCAGAGCAGCGTGAGGCCGTGCGCGCCTTCTTTATAAATCCTTCCTCACCCCTAACTCTCTGTTGCCCACTGCCCTTGAAAGAGCCCACGAGCCTGATGGCCTGTACCGCTCCGATCTGGAGGCAAGAGCCGCTGTTTCCTGGGGGCTTTTTTTCTGGGCGACCTAATTAGCATTAAAGACGGCTTCCCTGCAGCGCTCCCGCGCGACTCGACGCACAAGAGAACCCAATGGCGAGTCCACTTCTCCTTGGCCCTCGCACTCGTAGTTCCGATCGAATCATCTTGAAGGGGGGTTCTGCCTCCGCTGGGCTTGGTGCCACCTCAGGAATCGGTCGTGCAACCCACGTGCGCCGTGCTGGTGATGCACACATAGTTTCAATATAACATGCCTCCGTCGATGTGGCCTCCTCGTGGCTGCGATGCCTAAGCCGTTACGCCAACGCCTGGATCCCCACCCTGACTTCGTAGAACACCTTACTATCCATATAGCTACCGTTTCATTACAGTGCTGTCATGCGCTATCGTCTGCTTACCTCGAAGGGTCTTTAGAGTTGATCCTCTCCCCCCTTTCCTCTCGGCGGGGGACAAATTCCACCCTCCTCCACCTCCACCTCCTCCTCCTGCTCCTCCTCCTCTTTCTGATCCTCCCACACCTCCTCGTCCTCATTATGCTTCTCCTCGTGGTCTTTATCGTAGTCGTGGTCGTCGTCGTCGCCGTCGCGGCTGGAATTATTGACCCTCTATTGTTGGGCGGTCCGGATCATGTTGGGGAGTTTTTGCTCCAGAGAGGAATCCATTGTGGGTTACCCCACACGCGAGAGGATCCATGAACATCTTCTCATGATGATTACACTACGAATCAGTGGTTGTGGTTGTAGTCGTGATTGTAGTCGTAATTGTCATCATGATTGGAATCGTGATTGTAGTGGCGATTGTAGTCGTAATCGCAGTCGTGATTGTAGTCTTAATCGTAGTCGTGGTTGTAGTCGCAATCGTAGTCGTAATAGTCGCCGTATCGTGGTCGTAGTCGCAATCGTAGTCGTAGTCGTCGTCGTTGTTGCACGGCGGGTGCCGTGGAGAATTTTTTTTTCAATATTGGTAGGGTCTAAGTCCGTCAGTAAGGGCGTCGACATGATAACTATTGTCCACTGTTGGGTGGGGTCTAAAGACCCTTCCTGGTTAGCTTCAAAACTATTACGGCGAAGCAGAGGGATGCATATGCCCATGTCGCCCCGCATTGTATTAGTAGGATCCTTCTGCCTATGACACGCCCCTGACAGCCGTATTAAACCTACTTGCCTACCGTTTATGTCACATGGCGTGCTCAAGAAAGGGCATTGATTTCGATGAGTCGAGGAGTTGAGCCCTCAGGTTGGCGCACGCCAGCTGAATGCCTACGGAAGCGGGCAGAGGTGAAAGCCAGGGCGGCTTTGCCGACGCAAAGCGGTGGACGTCAATCATGTCTCCCTCAACGAGATATCAACTCTGAGGTTTTGCTCGTGGGAGTTTGGACTCGGCCGTGTGCCCTTTGCCCGTGCCATGCTTCGCTTGCTCCGACGGATTGGTTACTCCAGTCCGTTAGCCCCAGAGTTCTGGCCTCTCCGAGGAGTATTCTGGACTGCGCGACCAAAGGCTCCGATGCGAGCGATCCTGGCTCCGAGCTGATGCGACGCGCCCGTTCTGCCCGCGGCCGCCCTGCCCCGGGTTCGGTATCTCGTCCCCCCGATGGTATCGCGTGGTCCTGCGGCCTGGAGACCGCCCTCGGGCTCGAGACAACCAGTCTCCGCCCTGGATTTGGGTTTGCACATTCCCCTCTTCCTCAACCCGTTTGTATGATCAGGCCCCGGGCCTAGGCTGGGCTCTGCTTATCTGCTCGCTGGAATAAGATGAAGTTGACGGCAGCAAAGCCCATTCGCGAGGGGAAACATGGGGGTGGTCTCTCCCCCTTTGCGCGGGAAACATATGGGGTGGCCTCCCCACCCTGCGTCACATGCTCATCGTCGTGGTGCGAGACTGGTTCATTAACATGGGGGATGGGGCTTGGCGGGGGACTCGTGGGGCGAGAGTGGTGTTCCAATGTGAGCCTCCGCCTCCACTCTCTGGTCAGCTGCTACATCGTGGAGATCCCCTTCCCAACAGTTGGGAGGCCAGCACTCTTTAGTGTGTGCCGCCGCCGCCTCCTCCGTCTCCCTCCAGCAACCGTCATCTACAGTCAACGCGCCTCGTCAGTACGCGCGCCTTTATCCAGGGTGCCCTTGTGGCCTTGTTTCTGCGGCCCGTCCTTTGCTGTTTTCACTGGTCGGCCGCCGCCCACAAAAAATCCCAGGACCGGCCTCCAAGGGCCCTGCGTCTTTACCACCCGTCCTTAACTGTGCTAGTACCATCACTGAGGCCTCCTCCTCCCCAGACCCCCGGAGTCGTGCTCGTTTCTGCTCTGAGCTTGGACCCCTCGAGGTCCCGACCGCCTCCTGGGACAGGCTCTTCCCTCCGAGCAGCTCTCTGAGGGGGCCTGGCGAGGACCCCACAGGAGGAACATGTTCCGAAGCAGTTCGCCAGGATCTATGCACGACGCGTGCAGGTCTGGGAACTCATCGTCGTCGTCCTCCACCCTTCTCCTCGTCCTCCTCCTCCCCACCAGCCTGGAAACAGATCCCCACCCCTATGATTGGCACCAGCTTGCATGTCAATGCCGATCTCAAGGATCCCCTTCGGTTTCTGAGGACACGTCGGCACATCCTTAGGCCTGTGCCGCTGGGCTTGCCCATCGCGGGGCTGCAGGGCCAAGCTCGAGGCCGGTGACCTCCCTCCTCGCTCCGTGCTCTCCTCCGCGGGGGCCCTCCCTGCCCAGAGGACCTCCAGCAGGAGGGGGACCGCATCCAGGCCGGCACCCGCCAGAGCGGAGGGAGGAGCAGGAAGGGCAGCAGGCGGGGGATCAGGAAATGAACGAGGAGGAGAAGTCAGAGGAGGAAAAGGTATCCACACCGCTACACTTCCCTCGTTCTCCCCGTTTCGGGCCTCCTGGGAGTCCAGGAAGTAGCGGTATCGGTACCTGTTGGTTTCCCTAAGGAAGAGCAGCAGCAGCAGCAGCAGCAGCAGCAGCAGGGATGAGGACGAGGTGAGAGAGGCGGAGGAAAACGGGAGAATGGCGAGGAGGAACAGCACCATTGGCAGATGGAGGAGGCGCAGATGCAGGTGCAGAGGATGGACGACGACGACGACGAGCATTGGAATCAGGAAGGGGTGCATGAAGAAGCGGACAGCGAGGAGGAGCACCGTGATGGCGGAATGGGGTGGGAGTGGAGGACGACACCATGGAGCAGGAGCAGGAGGATACATGATGTGCAAGCTGAGGCGCAGAGGGAGAAGCAGGAAGGCACAGGGGGGCGGAGGCAGGGGACGAGCAGCACCACGAGGTGGAGCACGCTGAGGAGGGGAGGTGGAGTATCGCTTCGCCGACCCCGCATCCCCATCTTCATCCCCCTCTTCACGCCCATCCCCACCATCCCACCACCCAAGTCGGGGATGTGCCCCTCGAGGCCCGAGGGGAGCAGCGAAAATACCCCCTCTCAACGGGGGGCAGATATAGGCCTCCTATGAGGCCCAGGCCTCTCGCCAGCGGGGCCCGGGATCGGCCTAAGCGGTGCTCAGAGGGGGAGGGGCGAGGAGGCGGAGCCGGAGCAGCGCTCGAGCCAGGGGCCCGTGGGCTCAACGCCTTCTCCGACCCCACAGGGACGGAGGATCGGACCTGACGCTCCCAGGCGCTCCCAGGCGCTCCCAGGCGCTCCCAAATGCGCCCAGAGGCGCTTCGAGCGCCCCACAGAAGGGCCGACTGCGCCGAGGGACTGCTCGGAGGAAGTCGGAGGAGCGCTCTTCGCTCGTGTCGGACGTTTCCGTTGTGTCCCCTGCGGTTTTCCAGCCTCGTGCTGATTTCTCCGGCAGTTGCGCCTCGCCGGCTGCCCTAACCGTCCCGAATTCGAAGAAGAAAAAAACGCATACGTAAACATAAACTTTTGGCGCTCCGCGCGGATTTCTTGGATCTGCGTTGGACCATCCTCCCTGGCGCGCGGAGCGCGCCAAGGGTGGCGCCGGAGGCGCCGCCATGGGGGCCCAGCGCGGATCCAAGAAGTCCGCGCGGAGCGCCAAAAGTTTATGTT